GACATCTTGTCCCAGGTTCAGACGGCTCTCCCGCTCTCCAGGCCTGCCTGTTCCTTCTTGACAGATGGGTTCCCCTGCCCTCACCTGGCCCCATCCGTCTTCCAGCTGACCCTCCCCATCTGGGCCTCCCTGGCTCCCAGGGGAAAATGGAGGCAAAGGCTGGGAGGGTTGCCGGAGAGGCTGCTGAGCCAGCTCACTCCAGCTTCTCTGCTGACTTCCCTCCTCACCCTCCCCTCTCCACAGCCCAGTCCTAAAAGCAAAGGAATGTTCTGGAGTTTGGGAAGCATGGGGGCCCTCGAAGAGGGAGGAAGGGGAGGAGGCGGCTTGTCCTGTTAGTGTCTGAGCTCTAAATAGAACACAGCGGCTGGGCTGGGGGAATGAAAATAAACAGCCCCTCTGAGCAGCCCTTCCTAGTGGTCACCGGATTTTCCTTCTGGTCCCTCAGCCCAGGGCCATTTCCCTCCTCTCTTCTCAGCTCCCCTCCTGGAGGCAGCGTGAGCCTCAGGCATGTTGGGCTTAGGGGCCATGCTCTGTGACATCCCAGAACCTGCCTCTCCTCTCTGAGCTCTGGAGAAGACAGCAGCCAATCATGCCCCTTCACAGAGTGGAAAGGGGCCGGGGAGATGGCTCAGTAGAGTAAGCGCTTCCCTGGCAAGTACAAGGGCCTGAGTTCAATAGACCTGGGATAACTGTGAAGTGACTGCAACTTTTTCCATAGCAGAACAAGAGTTCTTATCCCAGCAACTCCCAGGTGGGATAAACTTAGAAACACTCTCTTTCTTTAAAAACATGACCCCAAATTTAAGGGTCAATCTACGGTTAGGTTCAAGTTACAAAGGTTTGCCTGGGCCTGGGGTGGGGGGGATATCCCAGACTCCTTTAGCTGGGGGATGGGGCTCCCCTCCCAGTCGCAGAGGGGCGATCCACAGCAGCTTACAGGGGGTATTTCATGGGGTGCAGCCCTGGCTGGGGCTGTCCATGCACACACCCTGGGCCCTGGGCTCAGGGCAGCCTGAAGGCGAGAGCTACCATGGGCTCAGCATGTGCAGTCTCTGTTCAGCCTCTGGCTTGCTCTCAGCCCTGTGCTCTACTGAGCTAGGACCCTAACATTCCCCACTAATGGGGCCTTAGAGCTAGGGTTCCCAAAGGAGCAGGCAAAGTCAGGGAGGCCCTTGATTTCCTTCAGGGCCTTTAGTTCAGATGGGTTTGGGCAGGATTCAGGACCCCACCCAGGGGTGCTGCAGCTGTCCCCACCTCCAGGAGGGGAAGCAAGTGTCTGGGTTTGCCCTGTTCCCAGCCTCCTAGGTCTCCAGCCCCTTTCCTTGTCCCTTCTTTCTCTTCCCTCTCTCCCCCTCCCCCTCCTCTGCTCACAAAAGCTCTCTGTACATAGCCACTTCCTCTGGCTGCTGTCTCTGCGCCCAGACCTTATGAGAACCATATGGGGGAAAGAGGGTGGAAGAGAAGGGGGTGGGGGATGTTGGCCCGCCCCTCCAGCCAGCCGGCTGGGCCCTTGTCTTTCCGCTGCCCTCAGGCTGAGCGCCTGATGCTGGGAGAGCAGCACCCCAAGCTCCCCTAATTGGATCTCCAGGGCTGAAGTGCCTGAGTCCAGGCAGGAAACTGGAGGTCTGAAGGGAGATCAGAAGTCCCAAGGGAGGTCTCTGCCCCAGATCTATATCCCTGAGGTGGGAACTCTCCCCAGAGGCCAGGAAGGGGCTTTCCCACCCTGTCCCCACCTCCACCCAAGACCCTCAGACTCTGCCAAGAGAGCCAGACAGTGCTGGGCACATGTGGCCACAGCCCCTTCTCCCCACCTGGGAGACTGAGTAGATTTGGGATTTGCCTGTCCTGGGAAAATACGGAGTGACCTGTCCCTTGCCTGCCCCTTCTCACCCAGCCTGGAATGATGCCAGGTCAAAAGGGCTCTGGTCCAGTTGGGAAAAACTTTAAAAAAAAAGTTTGTGTGTGTGTGTGTGTGTGTGTGTGTGTGTGTGTGTCTGTCTGTCTGTCTGTCTGTCTCTCTGTCTGTCTGTCTCTGTTTGTGTGCATGCCTGTGCATGTGTGTCCAGCGGGTACCAAGCCCAGTCAGGTAAACCACAGGCCCTCACTTGACAGGATCACTAAGGGACCCAATCCCATTGCTGACCAGCTAGTCGTGTGACTATGGCAAGGCACCACTCCGCTCTGGCCACAGCTTGCTCAGCTGTATGTCACCAGGGCTGGACTTGCTTGCTTATTTCTGAGACCCTTTCAAGGGTAGATCTTGTAGGGATGAATGGTTGATACTCTCTGAGGGGTTACTCAGACATGCAGGGAGGTCCTCCTCAGCTCTGCTTCTTGCACTTATCTATAAAGTCTGGTCCTGGAATTCCTTAGTCTCAGGGCCTTCACCACTTGCTTGAACTCCCAGAGCCAAGAAACTGATCAGCGCCCCCAACTGCTGCCCCCGCCAAGGTGGGACTGCTCACAGTAGGTCCCACCCACACCAGCTACTTCGGTCACCAGCCGCCCACCCTGGGACCTTTCCTCTCCTCTGGGAGCTCCTGTCCACAGCTGCCTGCAGGCTGGGCCAAGACTGGGGGTGGGGTGGGGGCATGGATCAGGAAGGAAGCCAAGAGCTCTGCTTCCCTGGAAAACTGAGAATGAAAGTCCACAAGAGGAAAAAAAAAATGCAAAGGTTGGGGAGAGGGGGCATGGAGTTTACAAAAACAGAAGGCAGAAGTTGAGATAAGAGTGGTGGAGGAAGGGTGTCTGCTGAGGTAAACAGGAGGCTGTTGAGCTGCACAGGCGCTCCCAGCCCTGGGGCTTCGGAGGGAGGCTGCAGGCTGAGGTCTTAGGTAGCGCTTTGAGCTCCACCACTCAGTGTCTGCCAGGTTTCCTGAGGTGGCATCCTGAGTCCTCAAGGGACTCAAGGGATTCGTGTGACTGGAAACTGGAGATCCATTCTGGAGGAAAATAAAGGAAATATCGGGACAGAGGGTGGGTGCAACCACACTCCAAAAGCAATTGGCTCCAGTACCCAGGACTGCACCAGGTGACAAGGTCAAAGGTGAAAAGTTGTGTGGAGCTGCTGTGGGTGACAACAGGCCTTCCTGCTAGTGGCCTTTAGCCTCCTGCTTTGCTGCCTGGCCCCTTTCCCCCACTTCCCTCAAGACTACCCTAGGGTACAGTGGATATGTGGGAGTGAGCCCCAAGAACATAGAATCCTTGCTCAGCTTCTGCCAAAAGCCTGGGTTCTTTTCCCTTCAGAAGCAGCTGGAAGGCACATAGGGATCAAAATTAGGTAAAGCTAAGAAACATGTGTGGCTCGGGATTTTGTCCCACTGTGAGCTGATGGGAGAGTGGACTCTGAGGCTTCAACGTCCTGTCCTGGCTAGTATCCCATCCTGTCCTGGAAGATATCTACCTTTGGAAGGTTTTTTAAGCCAGCTAGGTCAGTGGTGGTGGTAATGGGGCTACCTCCTCTGGGAGGGGATGGGACGAAGTGGGGTGGGGTCACATCTACTTCCACCCTGTCACAATATATTCTCACCCAGAGTTGGCCCCACTCTCTCCTAGGAGTGGCGTCGATGGGAATTAGCCATGGCTGGAAAGCATTAGTTGCCAAATCATTCTAAGATGTACTGCAAAACCACTTTTCCATTTCCCCCTTTCCCCTGCCTTGGCTATGTTAGGGTTCCCTAATCCTGCTGACACACAGAGACAGCATCCCACACCTATGAATCCATGGGGCCTCGGGAGTCCAGCTCTCCGCACAGCCCACCGTTCCCCTCCAGGAGTAGTGGGCTGGAGAAGGCCCAGGCCTTCGGGGACCTTACTGCCACTGGACTCTCAGAGACCAATGGGCTGCAGGGAGCTAGGCAGGGCAGGCACACACACACACACACACACACCCCAGCCAGGCCAGCGTCACAGGCTGACTAGTTGTGTCCTGTCAGGAAGCAGGCAGCCTCTGAACTCACCCAACCAGAGGCCTTTCTGTATTGTTCTGGACACAATCAAATAGAGGAGCCAGCCCCAACTGTGGGCAAGGGGTGGTGGAGAAAAGGTTGCCACTGGCGTCAAGTGGACAGGGAAAGGGAAGTGGCTGGTTTTTCAGCTAGACCAGGACAGGAAAGCAAGGGACTGCGGCTAGGGCACGACCCTCAACTGCACTGCTTGCGTGGAGTCCTGAGCACGTGGCCAGCGCAGAAAAGTAGCGGGGAAGGATCGCGAAGACTTCTTCGGTTGCAGAGGTTGAGACCCTGTGGAAGAGGCACCGTGGGTGGGGGCAAAGTGGGACCTAATCAAAGTCCCGGCGGCGGTGATGGGAGGTGCAGAAGGGAGAGGGGGGGGCCTCTGCTCAGCCGGGGTTGGTTTACTCGCAATCTTGCTGTCTAGAAACAGTCAAATCTCGAATTTTTGCTGGGAAGCGAAAGTGCAAACTTGTACAAGTTCACTGCACAAACGTGCACAGTGAGAGCGAGGCCCAAGAAGACCCCGGACGCCAGGTCTCGTTCAGACTAGAAGCGCCCACCTTCCAAGCGCAGGCTTTTCCGAGGTCAGCCTCGCGGCTGCCCGGCACACATAGGCGAAGAGAGTTGGAAGGACAGTGGGAGGACGGGCTGCCCCTTAGACGGAGGAGTCGCCCCTGCCGATTCAATGTGGGGGATACCTCAGCGCGGGATTGGACGCGTCCGCGGCGGCGAGGACCCCGGCGCCGAGCCTTCCAGAGCCCTGTCCTCTTCCACCTCACTAAGGTTCCGACAGCTCATACCCACGAGCCGGGGTGGAGACCAGGGCGTGCAGCCGCCTCACCTGCGCTGGTGAGGGCCGCCTGGAGCCATGCTCTGGGACGCACCTACCTCACACCCCCTTCCTCTCTCCAGGATCCCGAACCCCAGTCTTTCTTCTCCAGGCTTCTGCTCTCGGGCCTGTCCTCAGGTCCCTGGACTGGCAGGGTCGCCCTTGCCCTCCACCCGAACCCTCCACCCCCGGTCTTCGCCAGCCGGGAGGGTACTCACAGCGTGACGGTGCCGTTCGGGAGGAGGCCGGGCTCGGGAGGCTCCGGGAGGTCCCCGCCGCCGCACACTACCCTCCTGCGCGCTGGGTTGGGGGCGCCGCCGCCGAGCCCCTTGGGCCGCTCCCCCGAGCACTTGCAGCTGCGGATGGGCACCGGGCAGCCGGGCGCGCCTCGCGTCTCGGGCGTCAGGAGCAGCAGCCAGGGCAGCAGCGGCAGCAGCAGGCGCGCGGGCGCCTCCCGCATCCTGCGTTCCCTGGCGCCCATCAACCCATCGCCCGCGGGACGCACAGCGCGGGAGCCGGGCACGCCGGGCGCTCAGCGGGGCCCCGGGGCGCCCGAGGGCGGGCCGGGGGGCCCTAGGCAGAGGCAAGCCCCGCGGTCCCCGCCGCTGCGCCCCGGGGGCATGTCAGCGCGGGGCGGGCGGCCCCAGCCTTTGAGCGGCGCTCCCGCTCCCGGGCGGCGGCGGCGCGGCGCCTGCTCGCGGGGCTGGGATGGGACCTAGCGGATCACGCCGGGCTCCTCCGCCGCCGACCCGGGCCATGGGTAGAGGCGGCTTGTCGCTCCTGCCTCCCGCCCCTCGCCCGCGCCGCTCCGCGAGGCCCTAGCGCCGCCCTCCGGGGCCAGGCCCTGCCCTGCCCAGTGGGAGGGGCGAGCCGGCTGGGCACCCTGCGCCCCCTGCGCCAAGGCTCCTTCCCCCAGACCCACTCTTTTTGCCCTGGGCCACAGCCCGTCTCGGATCGCTGAGCCACCCCCATCTCTGTCCACAGTGTTTCCCAACTCCTGCTCCTTCAACAAGCTGGCCCGGTCCTCTGCGGCTTTCGCTGACCCGAGGGCTGGGCCTGAAAGGTCCCGGACGCCACTCTGGGGACTGATCTATGCTCCTCCCTGTGAGGTTCCTGCTGGCCTCTGCCTGACTCGGTGGTCAGTCTGACTTTAGTTCTTCCTCTCACACCCAACTCTTGCATCAAGCTCTGATGAGGCCACCGCAGGAGGGAACAAGCCTGGGACAAGGAGACAGCAGACCTCATCCAGCCAGCGCGACCTCGCTGTGGGGGTGCCTGTCATTTGGCCAAGGAGAAATCAGAGGCCGAGGCAGGAACTACTAGAACTGATCGTGTGTGTGTGTGTGTGTGTGTGTGTGTGTGTGTGTGTGTGTGTTTGGGGGGACAGGGAGTAGGAAGGGAAAATGAGAAGAGGCTGTGTGCATTTGTGCTGGGCATTGCATTGCACTGCACTGTCTTCCTAGGCTCAGCCCTGTCTCTTATGAGCTGTTACACTTTGTGCCAACCCATAACTTCTTGAGGTATTGTGGTATGGGAAGGAGGAGATGGCACTGTGAACAGAATCTACCTTGACAGCTGGGAGGGTGTGAAAGTACTGGTGGTTTTGGGTGAGCTACAGGGCACCCTCAGTTTCGCTACACAGGATGTCTTTCTGCCAAGCAGTCTTTCTTTGGTGCTGAAAGTGCAGCTGCCAGGACCCAGCAGGACTTCTGTCCCCTACCTGTCTCTGCAGCACCAAGGGACCCCAAGGTGACATGGCCTTCTTTCATGAGTTTGGCCCTGCTTTCCAAGTTCCACTGTGGCCTGCACAGGAGGTGGCCCTGTGCCTGGCAGCAGACAGCGGCCTCTTCCCCCTCCCTCCCTGGCTCCACAAGTCTCCCAGTTGCAGGCTCTGGTTCCTTGAACTTACAAAGATAAATAAATAGTGATTGCAAATGGAGGAAGGGAGAAGGGGAATGGGCTCCCCCAGTGGGAGCCAGGCTGGGGCTGCATTCTTCAGGAAAGGGGTAGAGGAGCCCAGCTTGGCCCAGGCTGGGAGGGGCTGCATCCAGGCTTCTGTTTTCAGGCAGGGAGCTGGGGATAAGAGGAGAGAGGCCTTATGGTTTGCAGGGCAAGGGGACTTTCTTTTGCTAAACACAGAGTCTAGAAATGAAATCTCCTGTACCATCCATTCTCTGACCCGAGGTTTCACTGACCCGAGGGCTGGGCCTGAAAGGTCCAGACACATTCCCCTTCTCCCTCCATTCCTGGCTGAATAGTGGCCAGATGACATTGACATTACCATGAAGCCAGAGTGCCCTAGGGCAGGAATGAGGTACCTGGTGCAGACATGTACAACACTCCTGTGTAGGCTGGGTGTGATGGCACATTCCTATGATCTCAGCACTCGTGAGGCTGAGACAGGGGGACTGCAAGTTCCAGGCCAGCCTGGGCTACACAGGGAGACCATGTCTGTCTTTCTTTCTTAATTTCTTTTTCTTTCTTTCTTTCTTTCTTTCTTTCTTTCCTATGAAGTATAACATTCAATTTATTATTTGTTCTCAAGAGAGTTTTCAGTCCATTAAGACCCAGCTCCCCTTACATGGGCTTTGGTGGAGGTCGTGGGCAGCACCAGCAGGTCTAAATCGGGGTGGAGGAGTTCAGTCCTTTCCGGCTTCATGAGATCGATTTCTGACCACTTTGCTGTGAATGGCACAACTCACACAGTAATGCAGCTTCACATACAGCTTGGGAAGCACATAACCATGGAAGACACTCGCTTCTGAAATGTCCCTGATGGTGGCAGCCTCCACTATATTCTGAATGACAAACTTCTTAATGGCCTGATCCTTGGGTATGCACTGGGCACAGTTCATGCAGCAAATAGGCTGCACATGACTGTGGCCTTTTTTTTTTTTTTTCAAAATTTTATTGATAAACAGCTAGCAATGAGACAGTTTCAAATCAAATCGGAAGTACAGATTCAACAAATAACACACTGAATATATTTTTCTTAGTGGTTAATTGCTGTACAAGATGCGGACTTGAGATCCTATTTACAATCACCATTAGAATAAATCATTCTATTCATTAAGAGAATGCAACTATATATCTATCCTAACCACTTTGAATACACAGATACAAAATGGACATTCATCGGTATACCCCATTTTTTCTAAGTTCTGTTATTGAATATTATAGGTGTGTAAACTCAGCAAAATATTCTAAAAGAGTCCACTAGCCCATAATAGCATTGGGTCTTCTGTTCAACTGGCAATGTCAGAAATTATTGACCTGAGTCCCCCACAGCTCAACATAACAGCATGACTTTACTTCCTATATTTCGTCTTCACACTTTTCTACTGGATGGTTAAGACCAAGGTAAAGCAGGACTACTGCGGCCTTTTTTGGCACGACCGTTGTTTCTTCTTTTTGTCGTCATCTTGGAAAGACTGAGGCTGAGGCAGGAGGATCACAAGTTCAAGCCCAGCCTGGGAAATTTAACAACTTGCTGGGACCCTGTCTCAAAATAAAAAATACCAGAGAGAGGCTCCAGATGTAGCTCAGGGCAGACCCCAGGTTTAATCTGTAGTACTACAAAACAAATACCCCCTACCCCACCTGGCATCAAAAACCCTCACACAGGTTCCAGGGTCCTTGTATTCAGCTTCTATACCACCCAGGAAGGGTGGAGTAGGAGTCACTTTCTCATTTTGTAAGTATGAAGGAGGAGACCGAGTCAATAAGTGCAACAGAGCCCAAAGTCCAAGAGAGTGGACTCTGGGCTACTCACAGCCTTTCCTGGGGATACTCCCTGATATCCGACCTCAGAGGTACACAGAGCAATGAATGACTTGCACATCAAAGTCTTCTTGTTTTACAAATAAAATAACACAGATATGATGCTGCATGCCTATAATCCCAGCTACTTGGGAGGCTGGGGCAGGAGAATCTCTTTAGTACAGGAGTTGTTTGGCAATATGCGGAGATCCTGTCTCTTAAATAAAATAGGTGAAATAAAAGCTTTGGGTTTAAGATTTGTTTGAGCAGGGAAGATGGCTGACAATTAGTTTTCAGCCTCCAAAGATCTGGGTAGGGAGACTGGCCCATGAAATGTACTTCGCTTTTAAATGTGCTTGGCTATGTGTGAGTGGGGGGTCAAACCCAGGTCTCATGCATGCCAGGGAGGTGCTCTACCACTGAGAAAGAGCTCCATGTCCTTCTGGTTTTTGTTTCTCTTCTATTAGTGCCTGTCTGCAATGCAGAATGATTGGGGAGGAGGTACATGTGCAAATCATAGCAGAATCACTTGTACCTCCTCTTCTACTCTTTACATCGTTTTTAGTAGGTGGCAGGCTGTTCAGTGGAGATTGGGATAAGATACTGCAAGAATAGTGAAGGCTGAATTAACTTTGACTAGGGCAATGAAGGGGACTTAACAAAAGTTTTAGTCCAATCTCATCTCTACTAGACCTTACCACATAAGGGCATGGGGGCTTATGCATACTTTCTTTCTCTCAAAAGATCTAACTTCTGTGTCTGGCTTTAAGGATCCATTGGTCTCTGTGTGTGATCCCTTCTACCTGGGAGAAATGGCAGCAGGAATGAGGAAAAGATAGACAAGAAGACAAGAGATGGGCTAAGTGGTGACTGGTTGGCCTGGTTGGTGACAATATGGATGTTTATTTATACCTTTGCAAAGTTAGTAACACATGACACAAGGTTGCCTAGTGACTAATAGCTGACATTAACCAGTCCGGATGCTTATCTCAGGACTCAGGTAGCTTGTCTGCTTTACACACTGAAGCCTATTACCACTTTCACACATTTAACTGATATTCCAGCTTCCATGGCTCCCAACATCTGGCTTCTAAAAAGGGAAGCTTTCACTATGTTGCCCAGGCTGATCTTGAATTTACAGGCTCAAGGGACCCTCCTGCCTCAGCCTCCCAAGTGCTAGGATTATTGGTGTGTGCTTGTGGTTGGGTTTTTTTTTCCTTTGTTTCTTTTTTAAAAAATTTATTTATTTATTTGTTTATTTATTTTGTGTGTATGGCCAGCTCAGCCCACCAGGGGGCGGGGCTGGCTGGCATGTGGTGCTGGGGGATTGAACCGTGGTCCCTGTGCTTTTTTGCTAAGCTTGTTCTAAGTAGGTGCTTTAGACCACTGAGCCATCTCACCAGCCCACCAGCCCTGTTTCTTTGTTTTTGAAACAAGCATCTTATGTAGTTGCCTATGCTGGCCTTGAACAGGTGATCCATTTGCCTCAGCTTCCTGAGTGCTGCAACTGCAAATCTGTGCCACCACACCTACCAAATATATCTTTTTAAAAAGTGTGGCTGCTCACTAACTTCTTGGAGATTGAAACTGGCCAGAGCCACCACTTGGAGAGGTGGGGAGGAAGACGGACACAGACTGAGAGCTGACCTTGTGCCAGGAACTGTGAATGCATTTCCGGGACTTAGCATGTGCAGCCCTCCTCGGGCAGTAAGGAGGACCTGA